ACTTAATTACTACTTACTCGTGTTATTTTGTAGGACCAATGGATAAAGATGAACCATCAGGCAATGAAGAGGCCAACGATTCAAAGGATAGGGAGCTTGCTATGGATGAAGAAATGAAAGCATTAATGAAAAACGAAACTTGGGATCTTGTCCCAAGGACTGGAAATGTACACCCTATCATATGTAAATGGGTTTATAAGCTGAAAAGGAGAGCAGATGGCAGCATAGACAGGTTCAAAGCAAGGCTGGTTGCTCGTGGCTTTTCTCAAAAACACGGTGAAGATTTTGAAGAAACCTTTAGTCCTATGGCAAAAATGACATCATTTCGACTTCTAATCTCCTTGGCAACATCTCAAGGGAGGAAACTATGGCAACTTGATGTGAAAAATGCATTTCTATATGGTGAGCTAGATAAACACATTTACATGGAACAACCAACAGATTACATCTCTAAGACCTATTTTGACTTTGTTTGCAAAATCAACAAGGCATTTTACGGACTAAAACAAACTCTAAGAGCCTAGTATAGAAAGATTGTTGAATATTTGCATTTTTATGGTTATATTGCTAGCCATTCTGATTCTAGTTTATTTATTTAAAATTCTGGAGATCTGCATATAGTGGTATTGTTGTATGTGGATGGCATGATAATAACAGGAAATGATGGAAAAGAAGTTGCAAATCTAAGAGCTAAACTTTCAACAAGATTTGAAATCTGCTAAGAAGCTTGTTGACAGATTTGGAATGAAGACTAGCAAGAAATTTTCTACCTATCTTGATGCAAATGCAAAGATTAAGAGCAAGAAGGGCTCACTTCTTTTGGATCCGCGTCCTTTTCGTGCATTGGTTGGAAATCTTCTTTATTTGACTATATCAAAGCCAAATATCATGTTTTCAGTCAACTTTATAAGTTAGTTCATGCAACCACCACGGAAGCTACATTTAGAAACGGCAAGGAAAATTTTGAAGTATATAAGCACCATATTTGATATGGGATTACTGTACAAGAGTGGAGCTGATTTTTCACTACATAGATACACAAATGTTGATTTGGAAGGACGTTTGGATGATCGTAATTCTACTTCAGCATATGTATATCTGTGTGGTTCAATAGCAGTGTCATGATGTAGTAGGAAACAAGATTCTATTTCGCTATCAACAACAAGGACGGAATACAAAGCCGCTGCTCTTGCTGCTAAAGAATGTGTATGGCCTAGAAGGCTTGTTAAAGATATTTATCTTCCTATTTCTGGACCCACTAAAGTTTTTGGTGACAATCAAAGTGCTATCAAGCTTGCTTCCAAACTAGTTTGTCGTGCAAGAACCAAACATATTGAATTAAAGCACCATTTCATTGGAGAGAAAATTCTTGATGGTATTATCAAAGTTCTACACATACAAAGTGATAAGAATGTTGCAAATATTTTAACGAAGGCACTTTCTAGGGCAGCTTTTGAGGTGCTTAAGGCCAAACTTGGATTAGTTTCCAAAAAATCACTTTAAGAGGGAGTGTTGAATATTAAAGTTGATTTTTTTTAGACTAATAAAGAGCAATTAGTTTGTCATTTACCACTGTTACTTTTTTGTAGAGTCTAGAATTATCTTTTGGTTTACTAATGCCATTTAGTTGTTAGTTGGTATTAATTGTGAGGGGTTCATGTCTTTCTGTATATATAATTGTATCTTATGTGAGCAGGACAACAAGAGGAGTTGTTTTCTTATGTAAATACAGTTCATTCTTAACTATCTTTTTCACAGCTTATTACTAGTCCTGGGCTGGTGTACTATGTTCTACATCATTTTCTATAGCATTAACACTAACCTTGATAATGCCTACTATTTCTTTTCTTTTCTTTTTTGTCCCTCCCTCCTTTTCTCACACTCTTCTTACTCTCAACTCAGATTTAAGATTCGAAGCGTGAACCTGATAGTGGGGAAAACTCCTCCCCTTACCAATGGGTCCTCAATAGTACATACTAATTCTGGTATGCAATGCAATTTAGTCAATAAATTACTTGGATCTATAAGTTCTGAATTTGTTGATTTAAGTCATCAAATGAGCAAGTAGAAATTCACCATATATGATCCTTCAATAGAGAGAGAGAGAGAGAATTCTTTTTCCTGCACATCTGCTCAAGCAATTTTTGCAGTCGACAAATTGAAAACCAATTAAAGTTTGAGTCATTCTAACGAATAGCTTATGAGACAAACCTATTTTGGAGAAGCCTTGATTTGCATATCAAAAACCCTGTGAATCTAGATGCTTTTCTATGAGGGAAAAATACACATTTCATCCCCAATGTTTAAGGTGTTAATCAATTTCGTCCCTAAAGTTTCATGCAAAACATATTTCATCCTCATTATTTTGTAATTTTGACCAATTTTGTCTAAAGTTTGTATATAACAATTTCATCCTCATAATTTTATAATTCCTACCAATTAAGGACAATTAAATGATTGTTAACCAATTTAGACATAATAACGTTACATGTCCTATTAATAATTGTATTATGGATACTTAATTCAATTATTGATTAAATTATAGAAATAACAACAAGTGTTTTTGGATAGGAGACTATCTCTTTTTTTTTTCCTTTTAAATTGTGATATGATGTATTTGAGACAAAATAAATAGATTGAAAGATAAATAGATGATTGAAAAACATGTATATGATACAACAAACAAAATTTTGCAAATAAATGACAATCCAAACCATTTGTTCTTTCGCAGTAATATTTTTCTCCAATTAGTTGGAATGGGTTTCTTTGACATTTTTCTCCAATTGGCTATAGCAGGGGTTGTTTCTTTTCCACTGATTTCATTTTTTTTGGATCTTCAAGTTTGATTGTGATTAAGAAAGGAGTAATGGTGGCTAAAAATTTCTTAGTCTTTTTTGTACGAAAATGAGAAAGTGAATTAAGAAAAGATTTTTGAGTTTTTGTTGATCCAATAAATTTTTTTTTAACTAATAGGCATGCCATGGTCAAGTGACGCTATTTCGTTCAAATTATTTGACAATCTACCAATTGTCCTCAATTAACCAAATTTATGAAACTATGAGGATGATATGTGTTTGCATAAAACTTTAAACATGAAATTAATCAAAATTATAAAATTATAAGAATGAAATGTGTTTTGCATGAAATTTTAGAGATGAAATTGGTTAACACCTTAAACATTAGGGATGAAAAGTGCATTTTACCCTTTTTATAATCATCAGCCTTGCACTGTTCAGCTTTTATTGTTCTTGGTTAATTGTAGAGATAACCATTTTCTGTCGTCCATGCTTTATCCAATAACAATGACTTAGTTTTATCTCATTTTCTTCTGATTATTAATGCTTTAATCATTTTGCAACTTCCAATGCCCCTATACCATGGGAGGTCTCCTACCAGGAATGTTATTGATTGTCGATGGGAAACTTCTAACGTTTCAATCTGGTTCAAACTCAAGTCAACCAATGCTACAATTCTGGACAGGCTAGACGGTTGAGTAGGACCGGGTTTGGATTCATTTTGCTCGTTTTGAGTTCTTTTTGTGGGTGAAATCAGAATAATACTTGTGATATATTGAAAAAGGGTTAATGGCAAAATGTACCCTTGAACTATCTTTAATGTGTAAGTTGCATCCTAAAGTCAAAACTATGGTTTATGTTTATCAGTCTTTTACTTGCTGCCAATTTGCATCACTTTTCTTTTATTCCTCTTTTTTCTCTCAAAAAGAACAGCTACTGTAAGAAACCTTTTTCTATTTAGTTTTCCCTTTGGAAAAAAGTATCAGCAATAGTCACACAAATTCCAATTTTTTTCCTGGAGAAAAAAATAAAACATCTAAAAAAATAAGGCATTGCATGAAAGAAAATGAGGAATAGAAGGATCTGTTGATAAAGGGTTGAGAGAACATTACAGCCACATGGATGCTCTCCTCAAGTTCTAGCTCCAATGGGCGATCTGCGACTCCATTCTAGTCCCGCTGGTTAGTTAAAATTTGATGAACGTAAACTCTTGTTTTGACTTATCAACTTGTTAAGAAGCCAAGAGGATAAAGGAAAGATAAGATGTTTTAATTTTCTAGACACTTGGTAATTTCTGATGAAGGGGGCAAAAGGAATAAAGAGAAAATTGCGACAGTGCATTTGATATGGGAATTTGGGGATTGATGAAATTTGTAGAAATAGGATTTGAGAAAACTAGTGGAGAGAGGAGAGACAAAATATGAAAGAAAATAAGATGGAATTTTGGGTTTTAAACAGTTCCTAGCAGGATAAAAATGTCATCACAACATTTTTTTATGTTGGCTTATATTTGATTAGAGTAAGGTGCCAAAACTTGATCCATTAAGGTGGTCAAATGCTAAAACTCAATTGTATACGAGGCAAGTCATAAACTAATAATAGTTGAGGGGGTATTTTGCAATTAACCCTTTGTATGAGTGTTCAACTTTGAAAATTTTTTAAACTAACAAAAAAAAAACGAAAGAAAACTAGTTAACCCAAGCGGTCCAACTGGCTGAACCAATCAACCTATTTATCGGGTTAATGGTTAACCAGTCCACTCACAGAGCAGGTTTCCAAAATATTGGTCGCAAGTACTTTTTATCATTCTAAGCCAGTATTACAAAGTCGACAGATATCAATATCTACTAGGACTGCATGACATGTAAACACAAACTGTAGAGGATCAACTTTCTGTAGAGGGTACAATTTCTAAAGATTGTATAAGATAGGAATCTTTTTTTTTAAATTTTATCGACTATCCTCAAAATAAAATTGCAAAAGTATTCCAATTATGTGTGCCAGTTTAATTATATACATAACCTTTATGTTAATACTGCACTTTTTTATTATAGCTGTATAAAAATTGAGTCCTGAAGTTTGAAAACTACGCACCTGAGAGAGCCAGTGGAGACTAAAAGATGAATGTATAAAATGGATGGAATGGTCTGGAAAAAGTCTACCATAGAAGGAGCCAGGCATAGCAGCAATGAAGCATGATCCTGATTAACGCCCATATTTCTCAAGATTATCATAAAACAGTGGCAATGACTTGAAAATAGAGTTGAAATCATTGGACTCGAGATCATTCAAGAAAACTTGAATGTAGGGTAGCCCATAATTCATTTTACGGGATTCACTGTCAATGAGCTCTATAATCTCCTTGACGGAAGCCAAAGTATTTGGCCCTGATGCACATCCCAAATCTCCTACTATTATGCACTCTTTTGAGGGCAAATTCAGTCGACAAAACTGTTGTATGCTTTTTTCAAGTGCATGCTTTGCCTTCTTTGATACTAGACTCTGAAAGATTGAATTTTGGAGAAATTAGAGACTTCGATTCATACCAGATGTAGAGTAGAGAAATAATCTCCCGCTTGGACACTTACCTGAATTGATGAATTCATGGCATAGCTTGCATTGTCTTCCCCTTCTTTCATGTGAAGAACTGTTCTAACATCCATCTTTCCTGTTATTGGCGAAAGAATTTGAGCATATCCTTTATTTATTGATTGTGTTGCTATGTTATATACAAGAAAGTTCGGAAATTCCAACCATATGCGCATCTTCGTTTTTGACTATTTGTTTATAGGGCAAAAAATCTAGTCGGTCCTCGAAATATTAATCTTGTACACTTTTAACCTTTCAACTATTATTGGTATTCTTTTAGTCCTCTTACTTCTAAAAGCATATATTTCAAGTTCTTCTATAAATTTCAATCACTATTCCTAATGGAATCCACTTCAAAATGACATAATTTTGTACATCTTTAATCCTCCAATCATGTACAATCACCCTTGCAACTATGAGTTGCTAATCAATAGCCATTGATTATTGTTGACCAATAGTTGACCACTATTCTAGTCATTTAGTGTTGTCAAATTTAGACGAAATTATATAATAGACTCTGTCTTTTTAGATTCTAAACCTGAACTCAAATTTCTATGAATCTTGCTAGTTATAAGTAGATCTGTGCTTGTATATTGTCCATGGTGCAGTTCCCGTTAGTTTTAACGACTCAAATAGATGAAAGGACAAGAAATATACACTTTCAGGAGTTGGAAGGCTAAAAATAAATAAATAAAAGTTAGAGGGCTAAAAGTGTACTAACTTAATAGTTTGAGGACTAACCAAAAAATTTGCCGTGTTGGATCAAAAGGAACAACAACTTTTAAAGTTCTATGCATGCACTATATATATTAACTTCGAAAATTCATACCAAACCACTTGATATATATTAAAGAAAATTTAACAAAAATAAAAACAAGTCTAAACTAATAAAGTTTGTTAGCCTCTAATATTGGCGCACCCCGGCAACAAAATTAAACACTTCAAATCGCAAAATAGTCATATCTATGAGACGGGTGATTGAGAAAAGATGATACAATTTTTTAAGGATTTTCAAGAGTCTTTTGAGTCCAAATTTAACAAAATTTCTGGTGAAACCAACTTTGCAGGTGACCAAGGAAGCAATAAAGACAATAAACATGAGGATGATCAAAAAATATCTAGGTTGTTTCAAAGAAGTCTAGAAGGCAGAAGGACTACTAGCAAAACAGTTGAAACTCGACAGGACTCTTAACATTGCGCTACCATCAATCTTGAGAATGCCAGATGCAGAGTGTCCATTTAGATTTCACATTAAGTATGTTATGCTTGTAGCTCCTTAGGATTAGGAGGGAAGCCATTATGCGACTATTTTCAAATAATTTAATAAAATGATCTTATTTATATAACAAATTACATATTTCTATCATCTTGTTAATTTTTAAATCATTAAAAATTGAAATTCATGGGATTGATCCTCACACCTTAGGGCTTTTGCCTCGACATAATAATTAAAAATGCTCCACTCAATGTCTCCACATTTTTAAAACCTTGGTTATAATTAGGTTAAGATGAAAGCTAAATGGAAGCAAGATTCATGGCAAAAGTTTATGATAATATGTAAATTAGTGTGAGAAGTTATAAGGGAGGAAGAACCGACCCTGCACCTGCAATATATTCATCGCTTTCATTTCCATGTTATCACATAAAATGTTTGAATGGTCGATTTCAAAGTACTTGTGATAAGGGTTTATTTTACGTATTTTTAAGTGCATTTTATTAGTTGATTTTGGTTTGATTATTTAGTTTTATAACTAAAATAAATAGGTTTTGGTAAAAATATACATTGTTTGGTAAAAGTGGCTATTATTGCATTGCTATTGATTTTAGTGATAAAAACTTCATTTTTATGCAGGTCTAATGATTCAATCACCAAAGGATGTCAAGTGAGGTGAAAAATAGATAATTGGTGATGAATTCAAGTGGTTAAAAGAGAAATGAAGTGAAAAACGTTCAAAGTGAGGAAATGCAATTCAAGACGGTTTTAACACTTTTCGGTATTTTGACTATATCTGGAGCTACACTTATCGGATTGAGGTGATCTTTATACCATTTTAAAGCTAAGAAAGAGACCTACAATTGTCATGAGACATCGAAATCCAATTCTGCTGTTTTCATGGACAAAAAGTCGGAATACAGAAGCTGCATTCTGTGGTCGAAAATCGAAACAGGGGTTTGACCAGGTGATAGTATTTCGACCATATCTTAGGTTACAAAACTCCGATTTGGATGATTCTTGAAGCATTGTAAAGCTGACTCAAAGGCCTACAACTTTTGTGTTTTGGACAAAATCTAGTTCGGCCTTCATCATAGATAAAATCACAGTTGAAACAAGGCCAAGTTGAAAACGCTAGTTGACAAAACGCGACTCCAAGACGCGTTTTGTGTAGGCGCGTTTTGTAGCCGAAATTCTGCAATTTTCTCAGCCATTTCTCTTGTGTTCAGACTACTTTCCAGCTATAAGTTGCAAGGGAATTCAATGCACATGGTTCAGAAGACAAAAGGGCAGACAATATGGCTTATTTTCAAGTCAAAAACCTTGGTTATTGACTATTTTAACAAATCTAAGATTTGAGAATCAAAAGGTGAAATTTGACTTGGAAAAATAGAGCTCTTGAGCAGTTTTTATGCAGAGACATTGGGAGACGTCTGGACATCCATACGTAGCCAGATTTTCTGATAGCAAATTCTCTCTAGCTAGCAAATATTGAAAAGGGAATAGAGAGACATACGGGAGAACTTGGAGAGTGCAGAAATGTAGCTCTTTCTTCTTCTGAGTGTTAGGTTAGCATTAGTGTAGACTAGTATAGTTCATTCATTCTTGAATGTTAGCTAGATTAGAATGAAGATGGAGATGAAGAAGGAGGAGTTGAAGCTCAAATGACATGGGTTATCTCTTCTCCAACTCTTTATCTTTTGTATCTGATTCTTAAGTATAGTGTTTATTATTTGGCTATTTGATTGCTATGATTTAAGCAAGTTATTTAGCACTTTGACTCTTTAAATCATGATTAATCTGGTACCATTAATTGTGATTATCTAAGGTGTTGTTTCTGCAATGAAAAGTGAGATTTAACACTAGTTCAAGAAGTGCTAAACATAGGGAGTACATTCACGAAAGTAGAGGTGCACCTATGTGGTTTTTAGTGATTCATTTCATGTAATTTCACCGAAGAAATGAACTTGTAGCTAATTTCATAACCATGAGAATAGGTATGAATTAGTTATAAGTATAATTGATTTACTACGAAAGTAGGATTCAAATGCATAAGGTAATTACACCATAACTAGCCTAGATGTAGTACTCAATGATCCAAATATAGCACTTGCATGAGTAGTTAGAGATACTACAACCTAAGGAGCTTTTATTTGTTATTTTGTATAATTTCAATAGGTTAAATTTGTTATAATTCATTGATAGTCTAAATAATAGAGAAGGTTTAGTAATACCGGCAATTGTTCACTCTTCCCTGTGGATCGACCCGATATATATTCTAAACTACTAGTTGACCTGTATACTTGCAGTAAATGAGTGTAATTCGTTTTTTTAACTTGTACGTATATGTAAAATACCCATCAACTTGAAACAAGCAGCTCCTGTTTTGAGCTTTTATCAGAATCTTAAAAATTAAAACACACACGTACACAAACCAGACATATTTCGGTTGTTCCTAGATTTTCAAAAGACACCAGGAACAAATCAGAGAATTGCCTCTAATTGTTTCCTCCTTTGACATCGTTTTCTGCCTCCCTCAACTGGATAGGATCGAACATAACTGACACGATGCGGTTTTTGGCTCTAACATCTGGAGCACTATGAGCATCTCCATACTGGTATTGACAAAAAGCAATTCGAGCAAGGTCCATAGCAACTTCAATGAAATTTTCCTCAAATGGTGATGGAGATGACAATTGATTGTTCATCTTCATCAAGCATTCTTCAATCATTTTGCTTACATTTTTTTTAGCAAATTCCTCAGACAGGCCAGTTCCACGCATGTAGCACGTAATTGCATTTGTAGTTTCACCCCTCTCTATCTCATCCTACAACATGGCACATGATGTATTAAGGTGCTGTCTCGGGCTCGCAGCAGTAGCATAAACACAAGGAAAATTGTACATATTACTTGCATCTTTTTTCTTTGGGTTCAATTTTTGTTATGATTATAATTGGTGTTATTTGAGGTGGGTTGCTAAATAAGGAGTCGCCGCATCTGCGACGTGAGGCTTCTCATAAAAATTCTTTTAATTCTCATTTATTTTGGAGTCGCTTTAATTTTTTTTTTCAATTTTTGTAAAGATTTATGAGCGGCGAAGGAATAGGACCCATTTTGTCCTATGAGGTTTTATTGTTGTTTATGCATCGCCATTCTTTTTCTTTTTTCTCCTTTTTAATAAAATATAACTTTTAACTGCAACGATTTTTTTCCGTAAAACGAATTATATGTTACTTGGCTCAATTAGTTTAACGTTTTACATGAAATCCTATTTTCCAAACCATCAGAGTATAACCCTGTAACCCTAATTTTAAAATCAAAATTCTTAAATCGTATTACTAAAACTCTATTACTAAAATCCTATTATAAACCAGAATTATAAAAAATTTAATATATATGATATTAGAATAATGTTAATGTTTGTTACAAAGGGAATGTGTTACCTGGGGAAACCTCAAAACCATGTTGCCTAAGCAACCTGAAATAGAGAGCTGAAGTATGTAGACTACTCTTAATTTTATCTCCAGTTGCATCCTCCAAATCTCGAAGCTTATTAAGGGCATTTTTTATTTTTTGCCTGTATCGGTAAGAGAGGCCAAGCTGGTCGATGTCATTAATCAGTTCAATCAGAGCCTGTGGCTCCAAGTCTTCACAATCAAGCATGCTGCCAACTTCGCCCTCCAACTTATTTAAAATCTTTGTCTGATTTTCCCACTACAAAAGATTAGCAAAAACATATATTGGATACTTTGTATTTTAATTGAACAAGATGATTGCGACATAAATTGGGTTTGATTCCGGAATGAATTAATTTGATTTCTTGAGGCCAATTTAAGTAGGGGATGAGAAGTTATGACAGA